TCTCATTTCATTGAATTAAAATTTGATTAAGAGTCGAGGTATATATGCCTTGACTCGGTACAATGATTTCATTTTTTTACAAAAGAGACAATGAGACGAATGGAATGAAGGAAGACCCGTGAAGGTAGGAAAAGGCGAGCTACTACTCGGGAGCGTCATCTCTGGTAGGCTTGCTGTCCCCAACGTCGGCGTCAGCAGTCTTGGCCCCCTCCCCTGCGTCGGTAGGACGATCAGCCCAGACGGCCTCATACTCCTGCTCGGCAGCAGCAATGGCTTCCTCCAAGTAAATGGTATCGAGCCTATCGATGGCATAGTAGAAGCCCTTGTCCGCCAGCTCGTGCGCCGGGCCATCAAACTCGGGAATTCTTTCACCCTCTTCTCCAAGTAGGCCCAACTCACCAGATTGTGCTGGGCTTCCTTCCAGCCTTTCTCTACAGTTTCGGCTCGTCCCCTGGCGTTTTGCAGGTCGACGCGGGCTTGGGCGATCAGAGCCTTGTACCTGTCAACCTTCACCTCCTTCTCAGCGCGAGCTTGGTCAACCTCAGCTTCAAGCTCAACTACCGACCTAGCAATGGGATTTCCTAAGGTCGAGGCTCGGTTAGGGTTCCCCAAAGTGCAGGCTATGTTAGGGTCTGTCGAGCTATGATCTACGTGAGGATTCCCCGAAGTAGAAGCTAAGTTTGGGTCCCCTAAGACATTATCTGTACTAGAACAACTAGACGACCCCGACGACGAATCACTAGACAAGTTTAGACTACCTAAGGAAAGTGGGAGAAAGTACCTGACTTGGACAACGGCCGAGGTGCTCTAAAGCTTCGAAGTGAAAAAGTGAAAAGTGAAATGAGAAAAAACTCCGCCTTTTATAGAACATCCCGGAGGCACGAGAGCCGTCCGATCGAAAAAGAAGCAACTGACAGGATTTGGCCACATTAAGCGGATCCCGTGGCGACGTTTGATTTCTCGAAGCAAAAATTAAGGCTGACGAAATTCATGACATCACGCATGAATGCGTGGATTCGACCTATCTTCATTTAGCTCGGAGTACTTCGCCGAGCCGACCTTCGTCCCGCCGCATTCCCTCAAGTGCGTTGTTACGCCCTTTCGACAATACGACGAGGAACAGGCGCCCTGCTACGGCCGCCACCTCTAAAAAACCTACGATTCCGAGGAATCCTTCCTCATTCTCTCAAATCGTGAGGCCAAAAGTTTTTCAGCCAAGGCCCCCAATCAATGGTTACTTCACCAAGACTACCCTTGTGGACTCAACCATCGAACCAGAATTCGACGGACCTTCGGTCCAAGAAGTCTGTAAACGAATATTTCCTCATGGCTTTAACTTCCTGCTAGAGGATCTTCAAAAAACTCGCACATTTTATGAGTTCATTCTGGTAGATTCAAAATCTGCAGAAATAACTCATATTCCAGACAGAAATTATCTTTCCAGGACCATTTACTCAAAACTCAGGATCTTCCGCATCCTTACCCCTTCCTCCTGGAAACAGGGTATGTTTGTAGGAAAGAAACTGACGAGGACCTTTCAGCCTCAGACATACAACTATCGCGACTACATGAAAGCGTGGTATGTTGTCTTCTGGTTGCAAGGTTACAACCATTCTTGGTTTGTGACTTTTTGTAAGCAAGCTTACAAATCGCACTTGCCAAATTGGTTTCAAAGTTGGTGGACATACTTTGGACTCTCCGAAGAAATTTTTCCGGTTGAAATTCAAAGATCGTACCATCTATTTCAACAAAGTATCTACTCGTCTCCCCTCTCTAAGACGTTTAGATTTGCTTTGTATTTTCAAATACCATGGATCTTTTGCTGGAATTTCCAGCTAGTACCCAGTGGTAACTTCAAAGCGTTGAGCAAAGCTTTACGCATCAAGTGGTGGGAAAATTTTGATTATTCCTACCTAGAATCCGAGAAGATGAAGAACTGGTTAAAAACCAATGTTCATCTTCAAGACGTGACGAGGCAAGAAGACGAGAGTTTCTTTCTAGCCAAGAACGCTGTCATGAGCTCACTAGCTGGAGCCGGATCTCAAGCCGACTTCAGCTCAATTCTCAATACAGTCGCGGTTCAGATCTCTGATCCAGACGACCTCCAGACGGATGTGGACTCCTCCGCCTCTGTCAATAATGATGTCGAAGACGACGAAGATGACTTCGATCCCTTCGAAGGCTACGACATCAATGATTCATATCTAGATTCACACCCTAGCTGATCCTAAAGCTAGATATTTCAAGTGTTTAATTTAATTTTCTTATTGTAAATTAATGTAAATTCATTTTCGTTTTAACTTTTGGATAAGATCATTGTATTCCGATCATATCATCACTATCCCAGTCTGTTTTTGTGAAGGAATTGCAGAAGGAATTCCGATGAAGTAGATGGCAAGCTTCTGATGTGGAGTAACCAACCACAAAGCAGTACAGTTAGCGTATAGGATTGACTCAGTTGAGAGGATTCTAAATCTCATAAGGCAACCCTGGTCGAAGATCGTTGGTATTCCTTGGGCAGTTTAGGCGAGAGGCCGTGAGTAAGACCCTGGATGGAACGTCCTAATTGGACGCCGGAGAAGCCTATACGATGATATACAGAATCCACAATCCTCGCTAAATCAGAAGAAGCCGGGTGACTTCATCAAACTTCTGAAGCAAGTATCCAGTCCAAATACAAACATATACAGAATCCACGCTTATCTTTGCTTTTTTAAAAGTAGATTCCAAAGAGATAAGATGTCAGTTAAGGACTTGTCTTGTCGGCTAGTCTTTATCTCTTTTGTAGTATCAAATTATGTTGAGACAAGTGTCAAGACAATAGTAAGAAATCAATAATTACAGCCAGTTGCAATTATCGGTTCTCTTCTATAAAGAGCATTTGCCCTCAACCTTCAAGAAAACTGAAAACCAAAAACAGAAAACGAAATGGTTATCAAACCAGCACTAAATTATTTCAATTTTTGTTTGTGGTACAAATATTTTCTGTTCCAAATAGCTTGAACCTATTTTGCCCTATTTTGGTGAGAAAGAAAAAATACTTATCATTCTAACCTCCTCTAACCAATCTAATTTCAAAATTTNTTTTTTTTTTATTCCAGTAACTAAAAACTAGTTTCCCTGCCATTTTTTTCATCACTATTCAAACAAACTAAAGTTGATTTTAATATTTGTTATTGGTGTATTTAATTTTCCTTATATTTCAATATTTTTTTTATATATTTTATATGTTTTTGTTTTTTTGTCTTTTATCATTTTGCTTTTGTTTTGTTATTTTAATACTGTATATCATAAACAACTGTGATAAAAAATAAAAAATAAAAAATATTGGTGGGAATAAATTGAAATACTTTGATTTTAAGGTTTTTTTTTATTTGAATCAAGACAATTACAAGTTTGTTTTTTTTAAGTTTAGTTTATAAAAATAAAGGTAATATTGACACGTTTTAATTTTTTAATTTTATTAGGTTGATATGATTAAATTATTTCTATACTCCATGGTTGAAATTACTAGTTTATATTAAAATATTATATTATTAATGATATAATATCTTTGTAAATATTAAAGGTATAATAGTAAAATGTTAATATTTTTTTCAGTTGAACATCCAAACAAAACAAAAAAAAAAATATTTTAATGATTAATAATCAATTTTGGTTCAAACACAATTACTAATTCGAAATCATTTTCATCATTTAAAATTCTTGAATTTGAAATTATTTTCTACCAACTCCAACCTTCAAATTCATAAAGTTCTATCTCAAAACCAATTGATAATAAGAGGAATAACTTATATCTATTATAAATCCTTGTTAGGTCCCTTATCTTTTGAGCGTGAGATCCTTAACATGTCCCTTCAAAATCGTGGCTCTCTTGACTCATCCACGTTGACCGGATTCCATTTTTAGGCCAGATTTTCGTTTGAACATTTTGGATTCTGATACGAACACAATATTCATAAAACTCTATCTCAAAATCAATTTACAACAAGACAAAAAAACTATTATAAACTATTGTTAACAAAAATGAAGAAAAAAAAAACGAAGAATAGAGAGAGTAACATAGAAAATAAAACAAAGAGACAAATAAAAAAGTAAAGGAAACATTGAAAGAAGAAAGGAAATAAAAAAAATAAAGGAATAAAAAAGAAAAAAAGAGAGCGATAGAGATCACGAGTAAAAGTGAGAAAGAAATTGTAGGGTTATCTTTGATGTGTCCCTCCTCTCAAAAACCTAACAACTTGGTCAATTTATAGCAATTTCAAAATTAAACTTATCAGGAAAAAGAATCGAATAATCAAAACCTAAATGGAAATAAAGATAAAATATTATGATTTTTTAATTAATCAACCCACGAAACAAATTTATTTCATTTGATTGTTTAATTAATTTGATCTTTTCAAGTAATGCTAATTAAATTGATTAAACATTTTCCAAAAGAGAAATATTTTATTTCATTTTTCATTAAAAGGATTTTATGTGAGAAAACAATGGAATTCAAACTTATTACATATATATATATTTTATAGAATACAAAAGAAGGAAAAATATTTTCCATAATTCTAAAAACAATAATTACAAATCAAACTAAAAATAAATAAATAAAATAAAAGACTTCAACAGATAGATAACTCTGGGTCGCCATGCCCCACAATATCATTTTGTAGTTTATTTGGACGTTAAGCCCCATTTTTCCTCCGAAAAAAAATAAAAGACAATGACAATGAAATAAAAAACCAAATAAATTTAGAAATCGACACTATGGTCAAGTCAATAGAGTTACAAAAAGATTATCCAATCAACTAAAAGGGTTCCAATTATTTTAAACTTATTAAAATGTACACGGTTGAGAGCTCAAATCTTCCCTCCGAAACCAAAAAAGAAAACAAAACAAAATTTACTATCAAAAGATACATTTTTTTTTATTTTTCTAAAAAAAAAAGTTAACATTTTTAATTTTACCAACAAATTAAGTCTTTAGATCATTAAGATTAATCTACTAATGAAAACTTGGTATCAATATACTTGAGGAAATTACATTAGCAAACTTGAATATTCCAAACAAAAACTTGATATCTCTATGATCCTCATGCCTTGCATAAGGAAATGTTCTTCACCTTCTTCCTTCAAAGACTGATCTTGCCACCAATCAATCTGTTTCAAACATTCAATCATTATGTTCTTTAAAAGTTACACCTGTTTTCTCTCAAGTTCCTTGTCTTATTTTTTTCCCCCCTAAAATTTTATAAACAACATTCTTTTGACTCCATAGTCAAATTTTAAAAAACAAAACAAAATTTTTTAAATTACTTTTCAAAAGACATGTTTAAGTTTCATGAGTAGACCAATCTTATTTTTTGAAAACAAAATGATTATCAATTTGACTATAAAAACACCAAATTTTGTCCTGTAATGCAATTTCTCAACACATGGCCATCCATAAAAAGAAAAGGAAATCATCATAATATTGAAAAAGGGCAAGCTTTACCTAGAACACATATTTTAGGGTTTGATGAGAAGTTTAGATGCAATGCCTATCTAAAAAAGAAAAAGTTGGTTCAATTTCAAATTTGAAATAATATTGAAACTGAACCTAAGATTAACATATAATGATAATAAACCATCTTTTAACCTTTACTCTCGCAAATTACAAATCTGTCAACTAAACAGCCTATAAAATTTAAATTATACAACACGTTCTTAAACATAATTTAAATGTAGACCATATACAAATCTAAACTTTCCAACTCAATATTACACAAATCCTATAGTATTATATTTTAAAACTGTAAAGCAAACATCCCTAATTAACATAAGATTATCCCAATATCCCATTTAATAACTTTCTATTCCTTTTGATTCTGCTCTAAACACTTCTCCAAATATTGGTCAAATTTCAAATCTTGAGCATTAGTTTAGTTTCCAATAGAATTTTCTTCTTTTTTTTTTCTTAAAAAAGATGCTGTAAGGAAATGAAAAGAAAAAGAAAAGTTTGAAGAGCATAGAGAACCTCTTCAATCTCATCCATTGCTTTTCTTGTACCTAATAGGAAAGCAGAAAACATGAAAAGATAAAATCAGTGACCCATCAAAAAAGCCAAGTTAGATGAAAGGTTTCCTTTCGTTTTCCTCTTTTTTTTTTTCCTTTTCCTCTCCCTTTAACATAATCCAACTTCAAAAAAAAAAAGTCAATATTCTATGGAAATTTGTTTCCTTAAAAATCCACCTTAAACAAACAGAAAAAAGAAACCCTAGATGAAGTCATGAAACGTGCAGTGGAGGAAAAAGAGAGAACAAAAACGAAAAAAAAAAATCTCAGAAACTAATCAGACAGAGTAAGAAAAAACAACAGTCGTTTTCTTAGGAAGTTAGAGATTTTAATGTAACAAAAATTGACAACGTTGGAAGGGGTAAAACAGTAAATTCATTAGCCATCTCTCTCTCTCCTCTGTTTCTCTCTCTAGCCTAAAAGAATGGGAGGCTGTAACATGTCTGGGAACTTGTTGCAGCATTTAGACCGTCACCCAAGAAGCTATGCCGTGGAAGCTCGTGTCCTAAAAATAAATTTAAAAAAATAACAAAAAAATGGAAGAACTTCCCCTCTCTGTTTCTCCGCCTCTGCCAAAAAATATTCCTTCTTTTTTCCAAAACCCTAATCCCATCCTCCATTAATGCCCTCATACCCACCTCCTTTAATAATCAATCTTACCAATAATGGAAAAAAAAATCTTAAACAATAAAAACCACACAACACAAGCAATTATGTACCTCACCTGAATCTTTCTCCAAATGGGTCATTCCTGCCCAACGAAAAAAGAAAGTTCCAATCTTCCCAGCATTGCAATTGCAAGTGCGAGAATTCGGACCTGCAACCTTTAATAGATCTCGTTCGAAACATGAACGAGTTTAAAAGTTTAAAACCCAAAAAGAGATTGAAGTAAAAGGGAAGGGAGCTCCCTTCAGTCCAAGTACAGGAAGCTTAAGATTCAATTTGTCTCCCGCATCATTCAGTCGTTTACTGAATCGGCAGCTGAATTTTTGACTCAGTATTTGAATGAATGAGTCGGCAGCTAATTAAACCCTACGGCCACCCATGAGTGGACTGAAGAAAGCTCTCTTAACCCTCACAAAATCCCAACCAAAACCCTAAGAGAGAGAAAGAAGAGAGAGAGAGAGAGAGACCCATTAAAGAATAATGGGCAAATTTTGAAGGTGAACAACTTTGG